TTTACATCTCCATTCAAGTGAGTAATGATTAAACAACAACAAAACAAGGCATTTGTGTGGCTCCACAAGCTGACTGTGCCTGTCTGAGCACATGCTGAAATAACCAGTTGTTTTGAGGGGGTGGCAAGCCCAGCAAACACAGGCTCCTTCCCCAAGTACAGCATTAGAAAGGCACATGGTGTGGATGGGAGATGCTGGGGAGTGGACCGTGCCTGTCATCCTCCCTCCTGGGGCAGCACTCTGACATTCACACAGCATGGCTGTGTACTTTGGGTCTCCTTTTATCCCCTTCCCTTCAGAGACAGAGCCCAACTCTACCCTCTTGCCAGCTCCAGAGAGGAGTCACCAAGGAGGTGATTGGGAAAAGCAGAACAGGGCAGAGGTGGGAGCATAGAAAAAGCCAAGAAAGAAAAACTTTCTCCATAGAACACAAATTTAAATATAGCCTTTATGAAAGTATATAAGTATATATTTTTTCACTTTTTTTTCAGATTAATTCCAGTTACCTTCATATTGTAAGTTCTTTACACATTCAAACATGCGAGAAATAGATTGACATCTCAAGTTCAATCAATACTCTTAACCTCAAGAAAGTTACATTGTGGAATTGGACTTTAATCTTTACTGATGGAGTCTCAGGCTTTTGTGCTTAAATAAATAAAACTGCCTCTTGCTGAGAACCTGCCTAACAGAGATAATGGAGACATTAAGGGATAGCAAGGCTGTGAGATTCACCAACTAATTTTACAAAAGGAAACAGAAAACACATCTCCCCCTTTTGTAGGAAACATTTCTAGCTTGTTTTCTAAACCATACACACATTATAATGGTGAAAAAATATTTTCAGCTTTAGGTTAAATGATATTTAATGTAAAGAATTTAAAGAGACATATTGAAAAAGAATATAAAGGATTCAGTTCTGAAAACATGGAATCCAAAAATTCCCAAACATGAGAGAGCTTGTGAAAAATAAAATATATATGATCTGACTTGGGGGGGCAAAATGTACAGCTAACTTTATAGTATCTGAGGTTAGGGTCTTAAGAAAAAAGCAGTATCATCGTGAAGATGAACATCTGAAGAGGACATCTTGTCCACATGTCTGCCTGACAGGGGGACCAGTTATACCAGTGCCATTTCTGATAAGTGCTTGGCCAACCAGTCCTAAAAGATTACCAGGGTGGAGATTGTGCAGCCTCCCCAGGCAGTTCAGATCAGTATTTAACTACTGCTGGTAGGAGAAGGCTTGTTCTGAGCCCTTAATCCCTGCCTGTAACTCCATCCCTTGCTCCTGGTCCTGTACACAATGGGAAGAATTTATTCCTTTTCTCTTTGAGGCCACATTTTTTAATATACTGTTCTCATACCTCTCCCCAGCCTCCTTTCACCAAACTAAGCAATATTAATGCCTTCAGCAAGCCTGGGGGAGTTGTTTTCACATTGCCTCTCTTCACTCTGCAATGTTTGAGCAAATTGTTGGTTATAAGTTTTTGCTGAAGTTTTACAGTTATGCTACAGAAAATACTTGGAAAAATACAAAGGCATCACAAACAAGAAGCCCATTTGTGCAACCCAACATGAAGTTTGTTTCTGCAAAAGCATTTAATTATTTTTGTATTTAGTTTGTGATTTATATTTCCAGACCTTTGCTGGCCTACTGCTTCCCATCCTCTCACTGTCTGTCTATTTGCACATCTGAGACATCCCTGCACAGTTAATAGGCAAAAATTCTACTCCCTCATCACTTCCCTAGTGGCTTATATAGGCTAATTTTCCTTATGCAGAACTACTAATTTGTAATTGTGCTACATAATTAAAGGCAAAACCATTTTCTCGGAAAAGGAAAAGCTGAAAGTTTGAAGTAGAAAAGCTGAAAGTTAGAAGTATTTTGCATCAATTAATCACTTCAATGTACTCATGTTAACAGGACAATGATTTTAAAAAGAGGCCCTGTCAAATATTTTAGACTGTAACAGTATGGAGTTTTCCAGGATAAAATGTAAATCTAGATTACTATGACTGTAGTGAGCAGGGGAGGGTCCCACCAAGGAAAGAGAAGGGCAAAAAACTAAGGAAGAATTAAAGGAGGGGGAAGATTGAGGTTTTTTAAATTAGATACTAGAAATGAGATTATCACTTGCCTGGTCTAGAAGACTTTTTTGACTTTGTCACCCCACCACCCTTTTTTGTTCTATCTTTCCTCATACTTACTTTCAGAGATAGCAAAGGCACTGCTGTGGATTTGGGTTCATGGTAACTAAAAACTCCTACAGCACCACCTACCTAAAGTGCTTGTATTCCTCAGTTCTGCAATATTTATTTTGAATGTGCCAAAGAACCTACCCAATTTGCCACTTTTAGCCTCATACATATCCTTATTTCAGGTTTTCCTTCCCCCTTTCTTCAGCATAAACAAGGATTATAATTGCCATGGAAAAGTGTAGCCATCTAGTCCTGTGCCTGAAGCCCAGTCCCAGGGCAGCCAGGGAGACCCAAGGCTGGTTAAAGACAGCAGCTATTTAAGAGCACATACAGCAACTGATTTCTCTGGCTGGACAGACAATTGTGGTGCTGGGATACTTGATATAGTCCAGAGAGACCAAGCTCAAATACCAGCTCTGACTGACCCTCTCAAAGCAGACAAGGCACTGGCTCTTAACTACAAGTCACACTGCTTTTCTTGCATAGAAGACAGTCAAACAGCAAGAAGGGTGGGGAAAACGTGGAGTGGAAATATAAAAGTAGGACCACAGGACAGAAGATGTTAACTGCATTTCTCATTTTCTGAGTACACAGTGTGACCAAAGTTTGAAAATGCCTACTCCTGTAAGCCTTTTAAAATTTAAATACTTGAGTGCATAGGAAAAGCATACAAGATAAGAATCAGAGACAAAGCATTTAACATCCCACACATGGTTACAAAGTTACAGCATTTTTCCCTTAAATAATCCATTTTACATTCCAAATTATTTCTGCACTGTGTAAAATATGCCTGCATATAAAGTTTACAGTGGCTTCTTTTGCAGAGATTAGACAAATATATACAAGACAAAAGATCTTTTTATTATAATGTCAAATGCAAAATTAGAGGTTGTAAAACACTTTAATTAAAAATAACAATTTTAAACTATGTGCAAAATTATGTAAAAAAGACTTTTTTGCTGTTTCAAAAGAATGAAAGATCAGACTGTGTAGGTTCAGGCTGAACTATTTTTGTACTAAGAGCAGCTTAATACCTTCTTTATCAAGCAGAAACCCTCAAAGACTTGCATGATTTCAGCACCTGTGCTCTCAGTGAAGGGCTCAGTGGTCTTTGTGCGCATGTGTGAAAACCACGCATGAACTTTAAAACAGTAGCAGATCCATCTGGTCACTCCAAGAGTTCTGGTGGTTTTTCCTCTTGAGCACAATTGGCTTGAGAAGTGCTAAAGCTGGAAACATAATCAAAATCTCCATCTAGGTTCACTGTGTTTGTTCAAAACATCAGAAAGGGTAGAGGAATCTGCATTAAAGAGTTGTGCAGGTCACTGAACACCATGATAAAAGCAAATATTAATTTCTTGATTTCCTGTATTTAAAATTTTTACAGATGGACCAAAAGCTTTAGTTTTCACCTTACACACACACAGTTTAAATGACATTTTCTACTAAAGTGAAGAATGCTTCACTAAGAGTATACCAGAATTTATTCACTATTACATGACCTTTTACCTTTGGAAGTGAAGCTTTACAATCAAATCCAACATGACAATGCCATTACTATCTCTCCGTGCCTGCTTTGGCCACTTCCACCTTCCTGTCTCTGGGCCAACACAGGTAGTATCTAAGCTGCAAATTGGCTGAAAACAGACAAACCCCATGAGTTTTTCCAACTGGATCAGCTTCCTTATCTAGTCACTGGATGACAACACAATAAATTAATGAGAAGTGATGTAGCACAGTTTTGGCCAGAAGTCTACTAAAGCAGCTAATTATGGCTCCAACTGCCAATGCAGGGATGGGATCTAGCTTTATCAATCCAAAGGCCCCCTTGTTGGGCAATGAGCTGAGATGGTCACTTTTACACATGCAAAAGCAGCACAGTTGGAGCAGATGACAGTGAGGTGATGCTGCAGGTAAAGATTTTGATGAGAAGCAGTTTACATCCTGGCTAAGTTGTCTGTGTCAAAAGCAGAACAATTAGAAAACTGGACAGTTTTGTTGCTATTTTTCAGGGGGGAAGCTGAAAAAAGGAATAGAGGAAAGAAAGGGACATAAAAGAAATCTAATCACTTCTTTGACTACGTATTTTTTCAAAGACTAGAGCTTACAGAAGTATTTTTTGCAAATACATTTCTATAGCTTCCTCTGATACTACAACATGGTAAGTCACATGATCCATCAATACACTGCTCTGCAGTTCAACTTGCGTTTTTCTACACAAATGCTTTTTGGGTGACTTCACCCTTTGACTGTTCCTATATAGAAGATCGTGTAAACAAAACTTGAAAGGCTGAAGTGGCCTCATCAGAAATCTCACAAAAGAAAAAGCATAGCTACCATTATACAAACTACTTCATTGCTGCAATTGTATGTCAGTTTGAAGCTTAGACATTGGATTCTGTAGTCACCTAAGAAAGTGGCTCATTCTGTCCAACTAATACCTCGTCCTAGTGCATTGCTAGGAGAGTAACATCATCTCCACACTTGGCTCCACAGAGAAAACTGACTCTAAGAAGCTTTCTGCAGGCTCTCAGTACTGGTATTAAAGCTTGAAGTAGCATGCATTTGAAGCCCTGGAAAACATGCAAGGCAGCAGCCCGTAAGATGACTTTAAATTCTAGCTTTCATAGAGTTTTACATATTGCAGTGTGACATTCTGGACACAGCAAAGTGTAACCACCTTCTCAGGGCAGCAAATGACAATTTATATTAAGTATGGTGGTTATCTGAATAAAATACTATGATACCCTCAAGCCCTAGCTCCTGCGGTTTGTTATCCTTACCTTCACTAAGGAAGTCTAACTGCTGGGGCCTTTAAATGCAAATCCATGCTTTGGATATTGTCCCGGCCGCATCATTTGTGTGTACAAGTCCATCCTCTGCTGCATACTACAAACACAAGTTAAGATAGAAGCAATCAGAAGCCAAACTAGTGCAGAAGAGAGCCAGAAGATGGCTTTGCAACCTTAACCTTTCTTCAAGTGCTGGACAGATAAAGTTCAGGCTCAGAATTAGACATTCATAATGCTCCCACCACTGGCATTAAGAGCAGTTCAGCAACAGCAACAACACTGGGGTAATCAGCTTTCCCCAACAGCACAACATGTGGGTATACACAGGATCTTGTTGAAGGTCACCGTCTCTAGACTCTGGCAGGCCAAACTGACTGATCTCAAGAGAGTGTCCCTGGAGACAAACACCTCCTGCACAGCCACACATGCCCAAAGGCTCTAAAGGAAAAGTTAACAAGATCACTACTAAATAGATTTGCATAGACCACTTACCCCTAAAGTTGTTCTAATACTGAAGGATGTCACTGGCTTCTCCTACTTACTCTCTAATTTTATGAAAGTAAAAAAATAAAATTAAAAACTCAGTCCTCCAAGAACTCATACTTCTTGCTCAAAGCTACCTCAATAATTTTGCTTTATCTCCTGAACATGGCCTCAAGCACCTACCCATATCCATCACTATTTCAATGCTCTTCCTTAGACCTGGGATAACCTCTCCAAACCACACTAGAGAGGTAGCTCACAGACAACCACCACTTCTGTTCTCCCAGCTCAATCCTACAAAAATACCATGAGAAAATGTCTACTGGGCTCTCAGTCTTCCCTTTGTGTCCTTATATTGGTGTTTCAATCCTTAGCTAAGCTGGTATTCATGAAGACTAAATTTAGCCCACAGGCTACTGTCCCAAGATGCCTTGTGGAGGAGTCCTCCCTCCACATGAGTCCTACAGTTAGCCTATATTCCATCTCTCTAAATTAAAGCTCATCTTCTTGAGTGCCTCTGTAGGTTCTAAGTCCAGTGGGCACATTTGCCCCCAAGGATATGTTCTCACCAGTTTTCAGTCCTGCCCAGACTGAGTTCCCATTATTCACAAAGCCCTGAGTCATCTGTATGCAACGGAGTATGGAACAGAGTAGTTTCATCACAGCAGGTAACAAGTAAATCCAGCAGACAGGCCATTCCTGGACACAATATATGGATGTTTATAGCCTCCCTTCACAGGAACCTTTTCAAGGTGTTTTAGGAAGTAAACGAAATTGACTGAGGTTTAACACTGCTGCTTCTACAGGGAATAGCTGTCCATGTCTAAAAAGAGCTGCTTTTTCTTTTTCCATAGTAACTGCTTATAAAGCTTGTTTATCCCCACAACTGTGCTCCTAGGTACCTTTGTGACAACATCTTCACTGGTGGTTCCATTAGACAGCAGAGACAGTCTGGTGCCAAGGACAACACTCATAATAATTTTTATCAATTTTAAGCCTATTGTCAAAAAAAAAAACAGCTGAAGGAAGGTAAGAATTTATGCTGCAGAGTAGCATCTTCATACAAACTTATCACAACTCTTCCCACTAATCATTTCCTGCATGCCTTTTCTGTTACATTAGTAGTCATACTAATCCCTAAAAAACTACTACCACAGTCAATACACCTTTGTACTACTCAGATTCTCAAACATAATATCCAGGGGTCAGCTTATGACAATAATGAAGTTGAAAAGAAGTCTTCCGCCACCAGTGCACCATTCAGCTTCGGAACTTACACCCATCACATGCTGTCTCCATCCACTTCCTTAATGTAGCCACAGAATAAGGATATGAATCCAAGGCAGATATGCCCATCCAATTTGGATGCAAACTCCAGGCCCGTGTCTGCCAAATACATGTGGGGATGGAACTCCCCACATCTGTCAGCAAGGCAGTATATGCTTCCATTTACTTCTGTTTCATGGACTGTTTAGACACAGCATCTTTTGTGGTCAATGGCAACTGCCAGATATTAATGGTTAGCGCCACAAAGGGACAAGCTTGTCTTGTTTTAAAGCAGTATTAATGCCACATTAATTAATTTATTCAGGAGTAATGAAGAAAAAAATCTTTTCTTACACCCAAAATATTTAATCTGTACATGCTAGAAACTTTGATCATCTTTTTCATGTCTTTCATAGCTTTTCTCAAAGGCTAAGGGTGCTACCTGCTCCAACTCCCTAAGAGCAGATAACATATAGACTGTTCCCAGCCAATTCTGTTTTCCCAGTCTGAGGGGTGACAATCCCCCAGAGGAACAGCAGCAAGTGACTTAGAGTGGTCATGTCTCCAGATGGAAAAGTACTCAATAGAAGACACACGAAAATGTAGTGGAAAGTGTCCAGGCAGGCATACAAGACAAGTACTCCAGCCTATATTGTCTAATCAAACAAGCCTCAGGAACAAATACTTGCATGTTTTACATCAGGCCAGACAAAATTTCTAGCTGTTCTTAGTAGGTATATACCACTAGATAATGATGCAGTGCAAGAACTTAAACTATATCCATCTAGTTCCTGAAATCAAATATGATATGAGGCATTTCCCAATACAAACCTTTTTTCCTTATGAACTGATCCTTCTTGGATCTCATCAACATGTGGATTGGATTCTTTTCCAATCCATATATTCTAAGATTGTTGTATTCTCCCAAGAATCTCAAAATAAAACACAATTAAGTTTCAGAAATCAGTTTGGGATGCAAGAACAAGTTTTCACATGTTCTAAAGGTTGATGTTGGCATTCAAACAGCATTTATACACCTCAAGGGATCCCACATATTCATCACTAAAATATTATGTGGCAACATTAAGGTTCACTGTCTCTCCTGATTTCCTAACAAATTTTTTCATTATATATTTGCTTAACAGATACCAATATCCAGAAGGAAGCTGTGGCTTATATTACAAGTGGGTGTGAGTTGGGAGCAGTCAGCATACATAACCAAGCAGGTTTTCAGATCTCTGCAAAGTATCCTGCTGGTCCATCAAGAGAACCACAAACATACCCAGTACTATTTGCATGTAGGAACAAATATGTGCATAGACACCATCTAGAGGTTTCAGTTATCTCTGAAAGTTTTTTGTTTGTGAAATATATTAACTATTTTCTGCTTTGTGACAAATACTAACAAGAGATTTTAATCAAGCTACTATTATATAGTATATATATATAGTATATATAGCAGCTTCTATTAATTTCAGGACTAAGACTGCATGTTAGTCTTACTTCATATGCCTTACTCTAGTACTCAGAGGAGCACTCACAGTGAAAGAACTTGTCAGACTCATCCATTAGTATTTCAAGATTAAGTTATTGCCTCTCTTTTCTAGGTCTAGGAAGCTCAGCAGACCCAGAGCATCTCTGCAGCACCCCAAAGTGAGATGCCCTGACTAAAGCCAGCAGGAAGAACAGAAAAAGTAAAGGGTGCACATTACCAAGTAGCCTTCAGAAAAACTCAAAATTTGACAGATTATGCCAGATTTCAGAGAACAGCAAATCTTTTCAGAAACTGGTAGGAATTTTCAAATTACTCCTGGGCTGGTAAGGGACTATAATACATATGTATACACAAGCTTACACCATAATGGCTATAATGTTCACTACTGGAAAGCAGCCCATGAGGAAATGCAACTTCAATATAAAGCTTTTTTAGAAGTGGTTTGTACAAAAGTTAATAGTAAATTTTGTGGTATAATCACCAAAGTTGAAAGTTTTAACTTTGCTCACAAAAACTAAAAAGACATGTTCTTTACACAGCCAGAATAATTTTCCTGTTCCAAGATTGCAATGTTTATCCACATTTAAAGAAAGAAAGGCTGTATAACTTGACAAATAGCAGAAGTAGGAGCAATAAACCATCAGGTCATCTGTTAAGCCAAGAGAAACATTTGGATCCCTATGACTATATAATCATGGAGGAATATCACAGCTGGTATTCTCAACAAGGAAGACTTTTTTATTATTATTATTAAAAAAAAAAAAAAG